GGTGGTTTGTGAATTGAGCTTCAGAGGACAGAAACACCAGAACGACTTTTACATGACAAGTGTGCTTTTCAGGAAAGATTCTGTTATATAGATTTTTCTCAGCTGAAGTTGCCATAGGATATCAATATATGCTTACCAATTAGAACTCAAAATAAGAAGCTCTTGTAGAGAGTTGTTTATGGTGCTGGAGTTTCTATTAAATAAATATTTCTACATTGGAGAGATGAAGTTGCTATTTCTGTTGTGACTGGCAATTACAGCACAGCAGTGCAGAAATGACAAGTGCGTCTGTGACAGACTTTTAAATGAACCCACCTTATTCACAAAGGATTTTTTCTAAAGCTGATATCTGCAGTCTATTCATGTAAAAATGTGAGATATTAATATATGAATTGAATGCTCTGAAGTAGCTTAAAAATAGTTGCTAGCATGAATACTTGTTGTTAAATAGCTCTGCACAGATCTGTTGTGCTGTACTTGAACCAGTTCAATAAATATTGTAAAGAGATCTCATAGTTTTCTGTGTAAGTCTTGATTACTTTCTGTACATTTTTATTTGTTGTTATTCATAGACTCTTTAAGCTTTTATGCCTTAAATATGTGTTGTGTCAGGTTTCCTGCAGGGCTTGATTACTCAGGAGATGACATGTTGCGGTCAGAGTTATCAAGATGTTACCTTGTACTTCTCTGTTACCTTCTCTTCTCTGGGTTTTGCATTTCTTTTAGCCGTTGTTTGGCTTTTATCCTTTGTGTTTTAAGTAAATTGTAATTTGTGTGGAGTAGGTAAATTTACTAAGTCCAAAGATTTAAATGTCTACAATGCCTGTAATGTAGCTCTTGACAATAGGTTGACTTCAGAGGACCATCTGACAAATGAGGATGATTTTCTGCCTAAAATTCTTTCCTTGATTTAAAATGAAATGGAATAATCTAGTGCTTTGAACTATGTATCGTATTAATTTTCTTCATTTTAGTTGTTCTCTCTTACCTTGTCTTTGATGTTCAACTGTATCCTCACTTCGATGTTGTTTTCATCAGTCTACAAATTCCTGTTAGAACTGAATTATTTTAAATGCTAATAGTAATAAAAGTCTGATCAGTCAATATTATAAACATTATGCATCATAATTGATTTAAAGAAAGATAACTAGAGAGAGCAGGATTATTATAAGAATTTTCATTGGTGCTTTTTTAATGTGTGCTGAATACAAATATCCTTCTTAGGCACTTCATAGATTTATGATGTATTTAAACTTGAGTCATTTGTCTGGATTTTCATCAAACTTGGATTCCACCAGTCTGTAGAATTTTACCAGTTTCCTGTTTTTTAGGTATTCCAGTGGTGGGGTTTTGTTATTTAGAGGTGCCTTTTTTTTTTTAATACAAAAGTGAATTATAGAATATTCTAAAATAATCTGTGAATAGTTTTTCTAATGGACTATCTTAAAGAAAACTGGGTTTATATTTCTAATTCTCCAACCAAGAAGAATTTTTTCTTAAAAAAGTTTTCTTAAAAAAAGTGCACTATCTCTTGAGACTGTTCAAATTTAATACATTAAGACCTCATGAATATTTTACTGTATGTTTTTTTTCTGAGTGTTTTATAGATATCAAGTCTATTTGCTGGGCTTTTTCTTTTATTTTATTCATATTCTTTTCAAGAGGTCTCCTAAATGCTTCATTTTTAGCAGTAATTTTTCAGGGGCACTCGCAAGGAAAGTTTGTCATTTCCATTTCTGGCAGCACAGGCGAATGTTGCATGCCTGCTTCATGGCTGCTGAGACTGTTATATCCTCTTGGAGACAAGTAGATCAGTTAGAAATACAGAATATGCTTGAAGAATATGTGTTAGGATGACTGGTAGCACAGGGAATCCGGGCAAAATTTGCTAATGATCTGTGCTTGTGTTGGAGTCTACAAGTTCAGCAGCCACTGTTTGTATGTGTAACAGTATTCTTTTTTTAATGACTTTAAAAGCAAAATGTTGAGAGACACATGGCTGGTGTTTCTTGTGAATTAGCATATGCAGTGCTTTCAGATACAGAAACCTCTTCTTTAGTGGTTTGGATAAGCATAAGTGCCAAGATTGTCAGTCAGTATGGTGAGCTTTCAAGTATTCCAGCATTTTTGAGAGGTGATGAAATCATTATTGTGTCTAAAATCAAGACGTAAGATATTACCTACAAGAGAAAAATAATAATAATGCATATGTGCAAAATATGAAGCCCAGTCTTTCCCAATGAAAAAGTAAAATTGATGAATTAAGCTTTTTTATCTATTTCAATTATAGGAAGACTTTGGATGGTTTAATAATGCCTCTTTCTGTGAGTCTTGACTCACATTTGTTGTCACCGTTACGGCAATGCTTACTGGTCATAGAACGATGGATTACTGGTATCACACGTTGAAGGTGTTCCTTTCAGACCTCAAATGTGCAGAATACTACACAGAAAGCCATTAGTGAATATTACAACTGTGGCTGTAGAATCGTTCTTCAGTGTGGGCTATAGACTAGAATGCTTTCATTTTCAAACATCTTTCAGCTTTTTTTAACACATAAGGGGTGAATCATTTTTCTTGTTCTTTCAGTTCTCCCCTTGCACCAATAAAAATTGCTGACAAATGGAGCCTTATTTGCAGCTGTTAATTTTTAGTTGTATAAAATCATCTCAACAGTTTTCCATCAAGTTTTTTTTCATTTAGATGTAGCTTTTATGTACTCTTTCACTAATCACAAAGGCTGCTTTGGATTTGACAGGACTTAGGAGGTCAACAGAGCTTGAATTGGAGAAGATAGTTTTATGGTCTACTGAGAAACCAGTTTTACATGGAAATTAAATACAAGAACAAGGGTTGGAAAATGTTAAGGCTATGGTATAAAGTAAAACATACCTGTGTGAGCCAAGGACAGAATACTAGCCATTTTTAATTTCCTGACTTTCCTTAGCTTGTATTTCAGTACTTTTATTTAAATGCTCCTTTTGCCTGCATTTTTACAACTTAAATGGACAGACATATTGGCCAGCTTCTTGGCTACTGTACGCTGACACCAGTTAATCACATGTTTCTTTGTCTTTTAGTGAAACTCAAGATTCTTGTGTTTATATTGTCCTATTTTTCATGATTTGTAGTATAATTAGGAGTGCCTGGCTTGGCTGTTTTTGATGCTTTATACGTATTGAGTTTCATTGCCCAGTATGTGGGAATGTAGACAGCATTTACCAGCTCATTAACCTCTTTAAATTGGCTGCAGAATGGATGATTTCCTGTCACCATCACAGGTCAGTGGATGCATTGCACTCTAATGGACTCTTTCTAGAATATTTGAAAAACGTTAAGCTACCACAGCATTGATTGATTGATTGATTGGTGTATTTTTCTAATTTACATGTTTTTTGAGGGGGCAAATCCTGATAAGATAGTAGGTTAATGCTGTTGTTATTCTGAAGTTAGGAAAGGCAAATGTTGACTAAGAAAACTTTACTAGGTGATCCTGTTTCTCTGCAAAATTTTATACACATGCAGCACATTTTCAGGACACTAAGTGTATGTTTGGATAAGGTTGAAGTGCATATGACTGTGTGGTCTTACTGATGTACTTGACCACTAGTAAGCATCTAACCTAGATCTGGAATTTAACAAGGTCAAGAAGGGTGGTCTTTGCTTCTCTGTGTTAAAAGTAGTACCCTTCACAAAAGCCATATGTATTTAATTAAAGAAATTAATTAAACTTATTTGCTTGTCAGTGGACTCCAGCAGGGTTGACACCATCATTCTTTCAACTGTTACACTTATCAAGTAGTGGAAATTTGGATAGGTAGATGATTTTGCTGTACAACTGAATGTTTTCAGTTAACTAGAACACACCATGAGAAAGAGCTTAAAAACTAGAAGACTTTGTCCAAACTCTGTAAGATTGTCATGAGCAGCCTTTGTGAGTGTCTTTCTGGTTCATTATAGATGCTTTTAATTAGTCATATGGTCTCATCACAGGCTGTAACTTAAGATTTCAAAATGCATCAAGAGGAGTCAATCTGCATTTCATATTGCAAAAATGAGATAGATGTCATATATTAGATTTTATGCATTAACCTAATAAGCTTGTCACTAATAAGGGCTTCTGCTATCCAGGATTCTTGTTAAAGGAACATTTGTTTGTTTCACTGAAAACTACAGTACAAATTACAGCCTTGAAGCTAAGTTTTAAATATGCTTTTCAAGGTGCCTCGTGAAAAGAAATTTTCTTGTTTTTTCTGAGTGTTATTTGCGGAAGCCTGCACTTTATTGTTATTTTGTGGAAATACATATACTGAATATGACACTGAATATGGCTTTTCCTCCTGAAAGCTTTTCTGTAGGTAGCTGCTTATTTTAACAGAAGTGATTACTAAGCTGTTTTTTTCATAAATGTTGACAGCTCAGCATTATGCTGAAATCAAAGCACTGACACACCTCTGCTAATGCTGTGGGTATCATAACTGATAAATGGCTACTGAATGTCTGCAGCTTTGGGTTGCAGTCATGATGTTTTCTACTACTGATGTGTTATCAGAATATTAGATGTGATTCCAAAGAACGTATAACTGGATAAGTTTGGGGTTTTTTTCCTGGCCTTGATATATCTTCATCACAATGTTATATGCTATGTATTATGTTTTTTTAAGTCTCCATTCTGTTCTTAATTCTAAATGTCACAACCAGGAACATCTAGTTTTCAGTTATTAATACTGAATTTAACTGTTATATCACATACTGTCCTTACATTATTATTATTGAAATTAGAATTCTCTGTTGATCTAATGTTGGAACAAGATTGTTTTTTCAGCTTTTGCTTGTACAAGTTGAAGTTGAGTGTTCATGACACTCATTAACCCCAAATTATATTTTATCTATCAATATAATTTGAAAATCTCGGTCCTTGTTTTGTTACTTTTTTAAAAATATGCTACGTCATATTACAGTTCACCTAATTTTATTTAATTTCCATTTCTTTAATGCAGGGTTGGGAAGAAACCGTGGATGCTGCAGTTTCTTACTTGTTAAGAACTTGTTTGTCAAAGAGCTCTAAAGAGCAGGCCCTGACTCTCAGCAGCCAGTTGTGCATGCCCAAAGATACCAGCAGACTGAAGAAGAACATCACCCTCTTCTGTGATAGATTGGCCAAAGGTGGTCGCCTTTCATTAAGTACGGACTTGGCCACTCAGCAAGCTGCTGTCATGCCAGGTAAGCCGTGAAGTACATCTTCAGAATTCAAAATACTTATTTGCATATTAAAACTAAAAATTTTGCACATTTTATTTTACTGGCAGTTTAGTTTTCATTGATTATGAAAACCAAACACTGTGTCGCTGACCAGTAGAATGACAGTAGAATGAATATGCTCAGTAATGCAGCAAATGAACTCCAGATGGTCATCTTATCCTCTAAAAGTCTTATTTCTTTGCACTTTTCAATTGGATGTGTACATGTGTATGTTTCTAATGTGACAGAAGAAGGAGGAGTGAAAAGTCCTGCTTTCTTGATAAAGAAATGATTATGGTTGCATTGATGACTTTATGGCATATCTATAGGCCAAATTATGAAGTACTGATAACACCAGAGAAAAAAAATCTGCAGCATTAGAAAGTACTAGCTGGCTGGGTGGTATCTTATAGAAAGCATGAAATTGAAGATGAAACTAATTTAAGTATGTGTTGAATAGTATTTCTCATATAGAAAAAGAATGTGGACAAGATTTCACAGTGCACAATGATTTAAATGAATGTCATGGAATTACCATTTTTAAAGAAAATTTTGTTCATGTCCTTTTCTATATTCCTGCTTTATAGTAATATTGGGACCAAAGGCTCACCTTTTCTGCAGAGTCTGAAGTTTAGCGTCTTTGCACTATTGCAAGACATTTTCTTCCTGCCTTTTTCCTCTTGTGAGACAGATAGTCTCTTAGTAAACATCAGATACTCCTGCTGGCTTGGAAACAGGTATTTTCTTTCCCAGCTTTCTGCTCTAAATTTGGATTGGCTGTTCATTCAGCTTCATACACTCCTAAACCACAAAATATCACTATGCCCTTTGACCTCAGTGACTTCCTTCCGCTACAGCAGTCTTCACATCTATTGGGAAAAGTATGTGTTGTATGTATATTTCATGCTTAAAAATTGGAGTTTACTATTTTGGGTATTGCTTTTGATAAAGTTTGGAGTTGTGTTAGGGCAGTATCTTGATTATCAGTACTTTGTTTTCTTACATTACAAAGAATAATTAAATTCCTGTTGAATATAATATAATATGAATGGCCTGTGCAATGTTTCAGCAGCTTGGAAGTCCCTGTTATTGTTATGTGCAGCCCTCCTTTGTGTGTGCTGCTGTAAATGATCTGGTAAAACGGCTGCAGACTGTGCAATGGTAGAAATTTTATATATATATACATAATATATATATAATTTTTGTTTAGTGTTATACTATTCCCGTATCTGGAAGCAGATTGATAATCATGTGAGGCTAAAAAAGTGTCATATTTGTTTTAGAAATTTTTGTTAGTATTTCTTTGCAAGACTAAAATATGTGTAAAAGGCACTTCTTTTGTTGACCTTTGATTATATAACCATTGTCTTCATTCTTCTAAGAATTCTGAAAAGGTGTAAATAGCTGCAGTTCATCTTTTTCTACCTATGCTAATAAGGTGAATTGATTTAATAAGGAAATTCACTTCTGCCTGTACAGATGGCTAGTGTTACTGAGTTCAGGGAACTATGCAATTTGATTATGAATAATTCTGTTAGGAAAAGACAGAAAAATTTGTAAAAATTGTAAACAAATCGGAAGAAATCTTACTCTTGATGAAGTACCTTGGGAAAGGGTCCAATCATGCTCCCGACACACTGTCTACAAAGACTAAAACATTTAAAACTGCTAAACCCACTGTTTTCTATTACATGAGGCCAAAATAACACCAAGAAGGCATGAGTGACATGTGCGAGAATAATTTTTACTACTGTGGTAGAGGTAGACAGTTATACTGCCTTTCAAATACAACAAGGAAGAAGTACATTCCAAGGAAAACATAAGGTATTTGACTGTAGGCTGTTAGCCAAGTATTGACGATACCTGGGACCAGAATTACCATTTTACATGATGCATAGTGAAAAATTGAGTACCTGTAAGGAACTGGTTGAGACCTGGTACAGCAGTGTCACACCTGTCATAAAGTGTTCTAGCTGTTCTTGAAATGCCTTTTGGCCATAATTAACATTAAAAAGAATTAAAACCTGTAACCCAAATGCAGATTTCAAAATAAATAGTTTTGCTTTCAAAATTGCTCTTGTATGTAGCCCTTTTGAATATCAAATCACCTAATTAAGAATCAAAATTATGACCTAATTAGGCTAACACTTCAGAATATCACAAGAAGGTATCATTTAAAGAAATTATAAAACCTAGTACAACTTTCTTATTTTCACTTAGAGTTCAGCCTGACGTCTTGATAAAAGAGTCTGTATGTTTATGCATTTATTCATTAACTGTTGAGAGAATATTATTTTCAAAAGAGCTCAAAAATAAGAAATTTCATCTTATACTACAGGACAGGCTCATTGACCCTGAAATTAGCTCAGTTGGTTAAAACATGGTGCTAATAACACCAAGGTTGTGGGTCTGATCTCCCCATGAGCCATTCACTTAAGAGTTGGACTCAATGATCCTTGTGGGTCCCTGCCAACTCAGAATATTCTGTGATTAGGGATAAATACTTCTGCCAAATGCTCAGAATAGCATAGTATTTAAGGAATTACTCTCCAGCAGGATGAGCTGTATGATTTGAAACTGTGTGTGTCTGCACAGGCTGGAGAAAACTTGGAGGTTTTTTTGAGAGTAAAGTTTTAACTGGTGCTTTTTAAACATATTTGTCTTGTCACCTGTTTGGGTTTTCTGTGGCTATCTTTACCTTGGCAAGTAGTGTGGTCTGTTAGAAGCAGATCTGCAGGGAGTTGTACTTGAGGCCAGCAACATGACTTGTCATCTGTGTGTTTCAGAACTAGCTCTGTGCCTGTCTGATGTAGTTGTTCTCCATTAGCAGCTGGAGTGCTCTAGGTACATTCCTGGGATTCATCTGCCTGGTGAGATGCAGCTAAATGAAATGAATTCATGTGGCCGAGACCATTCCTCAGTTTGAAAACAGTGAGTTAGTGGGGACAATCTAGAAATTTACCTCACTGTTGATTCCAATTAAAAATGCCTGTTCTGTTTACACGAGGAAGAAACTGAAAACAAAGCCTGATAAAGGGAAACCAGTATACAAAATAACTATGTGCTGTTGAGTAAAGAGCTCTTTGATAACGCCTGGAAAATAGACGAACTTCTCTCAGCCCTTAAAGGAGAGAACAGGAGTAGGTAGGGAAGAATGAGGTAGAACTATACATGGAGAGAAAGAGTGAGAATTGTGTTTGTATCTGAGGATTTATGGCTAAATACTGAATGTTAATGTAGGGGAAAGTTCTTCAGGATGTTTAAACTCCAAGCTAAGCCAGAGATGGTCCCATAATTGTTCAGTAGTGTAGCTTGAGAATTTTGTTCATTGCCACTTTTTCTTAAGCCCATTCTTTTTCTTAATTGTGGAAACCACTTTTTCCGTAGCAACCAACTATTACAAATTTCTTTTAAAGTTGACCCTTCAGGCATTGCAGCACTGTAACAGTAGGCTCAGTTTCTAGAAGTTATATTTAATATGTTCAAGATGGTGACCCTGAAATCTGGAGAAATTGCCTTAAACCACATTGAAAAGCTGATGATTATTTTTAAGTGTCCAACTATTTGAAAGATGCCTTCAAAAGTAATTGTCAGTATTTGTAGTTAATCCAAGAGTATATGTTAGAAGTAGGCCATAGTCCCTGCTGGATTTGGTTTTGTTCATTATTTTCTTTATAGGCTTCAGGGATTGCATATGGGCATGAATGTTAAAATTGTGGTTTTGCAACAAGCTTGCAGTAGTTTCAGGCATATTGAAAGAACAATAATGCTGATCTTGATAAATTAGAGGAAGGACTTGAAGTTAGTAAGATTGTTTTCAGTTGAGACAAGTGTCAAGGACTCTAGCAAGTAAGAATCTGACAAACTAAAATTTGAGAAATAATTCCTTAAGCACTGTTGCCATAGGATAGGCTCAGGGGTGTTATAGCGAACCAGCAACTGAATAGAAGTCAGGAATATGATTGCATTAAGGGTGAATTCCAACTTTGGAATGTAGTCATATGACTTCTAATGAGGAGATATGAATATTTCTTTCTATTCTTCAGGAGAAAGATTCACAGGGGAACAGAATTCAGGAAAAACCTGGATGAATTGGATAGAGTTCAGAAAAGAGCACAGAAACTATAAATGATGGAAACAATTTTGCCTTTTGTTTATTCTGAGGGAAAAATAAGGAGAAGTTTGAGGAGGGACATGATAGTTTTCCAATATGTAAGATGTTTTTATATGAGTGATTAAAAGTTAATCAGAATCATTGGCTAAATATGATTATAACTGTAAGTCACATCAGGCTATATCGTGTACTGTGTTGCCTTTGGCAAAGCATAAACAGTTGGATGAGAGGAATGGTGAGGGGCTTAGGGAGTGGTGCCAACCCGAAGTGTGGGTCAGTGCCAGGGAAGTGCTGGGAAAGGTGATGTGGGCCACCCAGGTTGTCATGTATTGAGTTTAATGGTTGTGAGAATTTATGGCATAAATCCTGATGACCTGCAGTTAACTACAGTTAATTCTTTAGTTTTTAATGCTCTTATAATATCTGTATGTTTTGCAGGATTGCTTTTAAAACCATCATCAATATTAGCTGTGGCTGTTTGAAGACTTGTCAGTCTGATCGGATCTCTGTTGGCATTATTGCTTCACTTGTATTTTGGGTATCTCAGCTACTCTGGCTAGAATGTGATTCTGGTTTTCCTGTATTAGTTCCTGATGTGATGTGCAAATGCCACTTGTATCAGTTCAAGGCTTTGTTGAAGCAAGGATTTTTAATTTTAAATTAGGACTTTATTTTTCTTTAAAACCATCCTTTTTCTTCTTCCTGTTTTTAACTGGACTTCAGTAATTTTTTTTCTCTTTGTTTCATTAGGAGATCTTTGTACTGTGCTCTAACATGATTTACTTACATAGCTGAATATAACTGGAGCAGTAGAGAAGCTATTATTTAACCTAAAAGTCATTTACTGGGCTGCATCACTGAAATCTGT